TAGTGCTTGAGCTATCATGAAGGATGAATAGGAGGTTGCTGAGTGAAGGGATTGGGATGTGGAACAGAAGAAAGAGGACAGAGCAAAGGCTCTGATTCAAGAAGTCAAGAAAAATTTAGTTGGTAAAATGGATCAGATTTGATCACAGATTGGGTTTGGGAGATGATTAAAGAGTAGAAGGAATCAGGAAAGATTTCTAAATTTCTGACTTGTCCAACCTGATGATGACTGGTTGAGCTATTTGCTACCACGGGGAACACTGGAAAGGAGACAGATATACAGGGAAGACAGGCACAGAGAGGAAGATAAAGAGTTTGATCCTGGACAAGTTGACTTGAGAAGCCTTTGAGGTAGCTGCATGGAGATGTCTCAGAGAGAGTTGGATATCAGAGGAGAGATTTGGGTTGGACAGAGACATTTGGAAGAGATTGGAATGTATATGAGAATTGACGCCACAATACTGGATGAGAATCTGTAGGGAGAGAGTTTACAAGAAAGAACAAGAGAAGGCAGCTCTGAGGGATGCCAACATTTCATAGCCATGTAGAGAAGGGTGAAACAGTAAAAGAAGCCTAGAAGTATCCAGAGATATAGGAGGAAAACCAGAAGTAAATTATATCACTGAAGCTAAGGGAAAAATGTGTTTCAAGAAGGAGGGAGCACGGTCATCACTGTTAGATGCTACTGAAAGTCCAAGAATGGTCACAAGAATTATGAAGCTACCAGAAGGTCTCTGGGAAACCTAGGGAGAACTATTTTTAAGACGTAGTAGGGGCAGGAGTGGATTGAAGACTGAGTGATGGAAGAGTCTATGCAGAGAGTGAGTATAGACAAAAAGATGAGTGGTGAAGTATCAGAGAGAGGGCAGTCCCTGGAGGGGACTGTGAGATGGAAGGAGGAAGGAATTTTCTTTTAAGTGGAAATACCTGAGGATGTTTACATGTTGCCAGGAAGGCTCCAGTGCAGCAGGAGAGGTGGAAGCTACAAGAGAGGGAGTGGTCAATGATACGATTACCAAGGAGGCCAAGAGGATGGGATTTAAATTATGCTCAGATGAGATGCTGGCCTTAGAGGAACTCCTCTAATCTAACAAGATTGAAGAAGAAGAGGATGAGGGAGATCGAAGCTGAGTTGTAGGTTTGGAAGCAGGAAGTTGAGAGAGTTTCCGTCTGCTGGCTTTGAGTAACAGTCCATACTAGTTTTAAATTTTGTGATTGTATGATATAGTAGTGATACTAATCACAGACATTTGTGGAATGATTTCTGTGTGTTGAGTTATGTGTGGTAGGTAAGTGTTTGTTCTCTGTAGATAAACCTATCTGAATTAGAATCCAGACCCTCCCACTTCCCATGGGACCTTAAGCTATGTGACCTTGAACTAGTTTTTATTCTCTCTGGGCTTATAATTTCTTCTGTAAAATGGAGATAATGTCAGCAGACACCTTATAGGATTAAATGAGAGAGAGTGTGTGTGTGGGGGGTATATATATATATGGTGTGTGTGTGTGTATATACACAGTGCTTAATGTGGGCTCGTTACATGGTCAGCGTGCTCTAAATGTTACCCAGCAAAAGTAGTGGTACTAGTGACAGAGCCATCAGCCTCTGGTCCCGCCCTCCTCATACCCTTTTGATGATGTGATGGTAGTCTTTAGCCCTACGTTACAGATGAAGCAGAAGAATCAGAAATTGACTTATTAGGGGCCACAAAGCTAAGTAGATGAAAGAGCCAGATTTCAGACTAGACCTATCCAGCTTCAAACCCACAGTTTTACACGTTCTGAAAGCAGCTTACTAGAATATTTCTTCTGCAGCTGTCTCAATCCTTGAGATTTCCGAGTTAACTCTATGTAAAGATGTGAAGTCACGGAAGGCCGTCTTCTATAGCGGCTACCGCCCCAGACGCTGACGGGCTGCCCGCGGACCTGCACCGTTTCCCCAGCTCCCACCCTGTCCTGTGCGTCTACTCTTCCTTTACTTAAATGCTGCCGGATTTTGATAGTTTTTCCTGTCTACATCTTTCTGTTTCATTCTTAGTTTATATTGGGCATTTTTTTCCTTTTAAAAATTTGTATGAGCTCAGTTGGAAATTAGTGAATTGAGGGTGTACATGATCCTGTGTAGTTCAAGGCGGGCATATTCCCTTCTCTTCTTCCTCAGAGTTTTACCCGAAGAATGAAGCGATGGAGCTTTTGTCATTGTTTGGCTTATACACCTATTCTTAAAAACATCTCCAGTGGCATTTATTAAATCACTGTAACACATACACTCTCCTAACCCACTTGTACCCTACAAGGTAGCTTATTCCCCTGTTCATTGCCTGTTCCATCATCAAATAACCCCCCTTTTTTCCTGTTAATGCCTGAGATTCTTTCAACTTTCCCTTTTAAAACTCAGAGAATTTTCCTAATGTTATTTAACTTAGAGACTTTTCCTGATGTTATCAAGTGCTTTATGTTCTATCACAGATGGCTTATTTCCTTAAACATTTTGTCCTGCAAGCTTACTTTTGAGAACATCATCAGACTATGTGAAGAACATGAGATTCTGTAGAAGGAAGGTGTGATGTACGTTTATTTTTTTAACTAATTGTCATCATTATGGTATGTTGCTGTGTCACTTTTTTTGGGGGGGAGAATCAAGATAATAGCACTTCAAAATAAAACAGTTTGAGATACTGCCATGGACTTAATGTATTTTTTATGATTAGAATGCCTTCTTTCTTGGGTCTCCCTGACCTATTTTAATCTCCTGTTAGTCCCATGCTGTTCTGTAGTCCCAGGCAGGCAGGCATGCTTTTCAGAAGAGATAACAGTTGGTTTTGACTTCCCAGGAGTTGGCTCTGCTAAGTCACTGTTTTCTTTTTTGAATTTTAACAGTGTTCTTCAGGTATAATTTACATTCCAAAAATTTTACCCATTTAAAGTATAAAATTCAATTATTTTTAGTAAATTTGTAGGGTTGTGTAGGCATCATAACAATCCCATTTTGGAAGTTTTCCATCACCCTGAAAAGTTCCATTGAACCTATTTACATCAACCCCTCCTCCCTCCTCTCTAGCCCCATGCAACCGCTGATTCGCTTCTTGTCTCTATAGATTTGCCTTTTCTGAACATTTCCTATAGATGGAACAATGCAGTATTTAGTCTTTTGCATTTGGCTTCTTTCACTTAGCAAAATGTTTTGAGAGGCCCATCCATGTTGTAACATTTATCCTTAGTTTGTTGCCTTTTATTTCTGAATAGTATTTCATTATATGGGTATCCCACATTTTGTTTATCCAGTCATCGGTTGATGGATATTTGTATAATTTCCATTTGGAGGTATGATATGAATAATGCTGCTATGAACATTCATGGGCAAGTCTTTATGTGGACATATATTTTCATTTTACTTGGGTAGTTTTCTAGGAATGCAATTGCTGGGTTGTATGGTAAGCTTATGTTAAACTTTTTAAGGAACTGAAACTATTTTCCAAACTTGCTGTACCATGTTCCATTCCTACCAGCGGTGAAGGAGGATTCCAGTATCTCTGCATCTTTGTCAACACTTGGTATTGTCTTGATTATATAGCCATTCTAGGGGATGTATAATAGTATCTTATTGTGATTTTCATATGCAGTTTCCTAATGAGTAATGGTGTTGAGCATCTTTCCATATCCTTATTAGCCTTTGTTGAAATATTTATTCCAATCTTTTACCCATTTTAAAATTAGATTGTCTTTTTATTACTGAGTTGTAATAGTTCTTTATATATTCCATATACAAGTCCTTTATCAGGTATATGATTTACAAATATTTTTTTTTCCCAGTCTTTACCTTGGCTTTTAATTTTCTTAATTAAATCTTTTGAAGCACAAAGCTTTTTACATTTTAATTAAGTCTAATTTATTAATTTGTTTTCTTTTATGATTTGTGGTCCTGGTGACATATCGAAGACCTCTTTCACTAACCTAAGGTCACAAAGATTTTCCCCTATGTTTATTTCCAGAAGTGTTATAGTTTTAGGTCTTACCATTAGGTCTATGATACATTTTGAGTTGGTTTTGTGTATGCTGTGAGGTAAGGGTCTGAGTTAATTTTTTTTTTGCATATTAATATCAAATTGTCCCAACACTGTTTGTTGAAAAGACTATTCTTTCCTCCATTTAATGGTGGTGTACATTTGTTGAAAAACATTTGACCATAAATATACGGGTTTATTTCGGAGGTCTAAAACCTGTGCCATTTACCTGGTGGCCTATCTTTATGCTAGTGCCACGCTGTATCGATTACTATTGCTCTCCGGCAAGTTTTGAAATCGGATAGTGTGAATTCACCACATCTGTTCTTCTTTTTCAGTATTCTTTTGGCTATTCTAGTTTTTTGCCTTTCTGTGCATTTTAGAATTAGTTTGTCAGTGCCTATAAAAAGCCTGCTGGGATTTTTATTGGAATTGCTCTGAATGTGTAGATCAGTTTGGGGAAAATTGGTGTCTTAACGATATCAAAACTTCCAATCTATGAATGTTGCATATCTGCCCAATAAGACTAAGTAATAGTCTTATTTGATTTCTTTCATCAGCGTTTTGTAGTTTTCAGTGTATAGATCCTGAACATATTTTGTTAGATTTATATATAGGCATTCAATTTTAAGTGTGTATTGTAATGATGCTTTTAAGAAAATTCACTTTATTTCTCATCCTTCATCACCATTGCAAGCTTTCCTCAAACCTTATCAGTTGAAATCTCCCACGTTGTATTTGAATCTGGCCAAATACCGATAGCGTCTTACAAAATAGAGTAAATAGTCTCTAGTATTTTTCATTTGTAGTTTCTGAGAGGTAAAGGAATGAGCTGTTTTAATTATTTTGATGCAGTGCCTTCCCAGCAGTTGTTTAGTAAGACTGTCGTGTCAGTCTGTTCACATTACGACGATATAAAGCACACAAACCTTTTCTGAAGGGATTTGGACTCTCAGGGAAGGGCGAGCACGTAAACCCCCTCTCCCTCCTTGTGCAGGTGTGGCAGCTTCCCTGGAAGTCTCAGAGAGCCCTGGGAGCGTCCAGGTGGCCCGGGGGCAGACAGCGGTCCTGCCCTGTACTTTCACCACCAGCGCGGCCCTCATTAACCTCAATGTCATTTGGATGGTCATTCCTCTCTCCAATGCCAACCAGCCTGAACAGGTACTTGCACTTCACCCTGCGCTACCTCTGAAGTAGTAGTCTGTTCAGAGGAGGTGGGTAGGAAAGCATCCTGAGTGCATACTTGATTTCTAGAATAGGGTGGCACTCTCAGTGTGCCTGTGCTGTTTTAGGTCCTACTCCTGTGTTGTTAGTCAGCTATCAGAAGAGCCTGTCCTCTTTTTAAAAGACTTTCTTTTCAAATTGACAAATGTCAAGGGGATCCTTCTGAGAATTTTATGTAGGAACCTGGAATTTTATCAAAAGACATTGCTGACAGGAAATACCAAGACAGAAAAAGCAAAGTATCTTTTAACAGGAAGGGGTTGGCACTAAAACAGGTGGGTGAGAGAGTACTTTTTAAACATAATGATAATATTAAGGAAGTAACATTAGATAGTAGTACTTGATTTATTTGGCTAATTTCATAAGTATTTTAAAATAAACAAAGCCAGGCATATTAGCCATCCTCAGAGTCTCAAATAAATTAGAGTACGTGAAAATAGAAGCCACTACCTAATATGTGTGCCAATTATAGGTAAAAGATCTGTAATTTATAATACCCACTGCAGAAAATAATGCTCAGAAAATTAATGAATTGTGATCATGACTATACCTCCATTCCCAAAGATAACTATTTGTCTTATGAAGGTTTTCTGCTTCAATAAGCTTATTACTTCCTAAAAATATTTGATAAGCTAAATTTTCTGATATGAAATTCAAATAGGTATATTTAGAAGCTTCTTTTATTTCTTTAAGCCATGGAAGTTTTCTAACTGGACTGAGCGTTTGAGATCATTTTATTCAACCTCATTATTTTAGAAGTCACTGGCAAAGAAAGACTTGACCACAGTTGCCCAAACACTTGCAGGAGGAGCTTGAATAGAACCAGGTCCCTCACTCTCAACCCAGAGGGCTTTTTGCAACACCATTCTGAGTCCTCTCCCATGGAGGGTTAACTTTGATAACAGAAATTGACGTAAGAACTGCAGTCATGGGCCTGTAACTCTTCTTCCCTCTTCTGACTTTCATTTATATTCAGTCTATAGCTGTGATCTACCATTTTGTGACCTAGTAAGCATGAGAATTGCAGTGCTAATATTTTTTAACTTTTTATTTTGGAATTAATTTTTTGAACTGATAAAATATTTATGGGGTGATAGTAGGATAGCATTAAAGACATTTTTTATATTCTGATGAGCTAAGCAAGGAAACAGTGTTATTCCAGTTTAGTATGTAAGAATTTAGACCCAAGATCCCTGTGCACGGGTGCTATAGGGAAAAGTTGATGACAGCTGTAAGATTAGAAAGCAAATTTTCCAACGTTTGGTGCAGTCTACACTCTACCAGATAGTTGCTGTTGTATGTCTAGAAGGGGTGCACTGGCAATTGATTTATTTTGCTTTCTTTTGCAGGTCATTCTGTATCAGGGCGGACAGATGTTTGACGGTGCCCCCCGGTTCCATGGTCGGGTGGGATTTACAGGCACCATGCCAGCCACCAATGTCTCCATCTTCATTAATAACACTCAACTCTCAGATACAGGCACCTACCAGTGTTTGGTCAACAACCTTCCAGATAGAGGGGGCAGGAACATTGGGGTCACCGGCCTCACAGTTTTGGGTGAGTGGCGGGAAATGTTCCCCACACCTCGGCTGCGCTCAGGGATCTGCTCTCAAGCGGCTTCCTTCTGCCTGTCCTTCCACGCTCTCAGTCTGCGTGTGTCCTTTCCCTGTCTTCTCTCCTCTCTGCCTCGTCTCAACTCTGCTTCTCCATGCTTCCTACACGTAGTCTCCCCAACCCTTTCTCCATTTCAGGTGGCTCTCTAAAGCTTATTTCTTAAATGATTTTTCCTAAAGGTAGCACAAAATACCATCAAAAGTGGCCTCATCATTTTTCTTAGGCTTCTACAGGATAGGACTGATTGTTGAGAGTAAATAAATAAAAAATTGTTAAAATGAGTACGAAGCAGAAATATCATCCCCTGTGAGGATAGGTACTGCTACTTCCTGTGTGTGTCACGCTGGGTAGGCTCACTACGGTTCTCGGCTTATACCCGTTGTCCTGGCATAATTTTGGTATTATCTCCTTTTACTCTCAATTATATGATCAATTTGGTCTTAATACTGAGACCAAATGGATTTAGGACCTTTCACAAGGTTACATAGACAGTAAACAAAAATAAACTTTAGCTTAAAATTTAGGTCTCTTGACTCAAACCAGTATTCTTTCCATTATCCCATGCGGTTAGACTGTCTCAAATTAAATCCATTCTCAACATGTTTTATTTCTCAATTCTGCTGCCTCTAAATTAAACAGTGCCTTCTAAATGGATGCTTGTGGTAGCAGCGGCTAAACTCAGTTCACTGGGGGAGACGGAAGAAGGACTTAGAGAAGGCTGGCGCTCTTGATTGTCCTCCGTCCTGCTGAAGTCTCAGAATCTGCTCCCAGCTCCTTGTCAGATTCTCCCGCTTTTCTTTTCCTTCCCTTGCTGAGTCGCTTGAGGATACCAGTGCTGGGGACTCTTGCCTTTTCCTTCTCTGGGGGAGAATGTGCTACAGCCTTGGTGCCTTGTTCTCTCAGTCTTCGAACAGAATAAGAAAAATAAGGAGCAGGTCAGGGACTTCTATCCTAGAAACGCTATTCATTGTAATATATTAAAACTGTATAGACTTTAAAATACTCTGAGGACCGAATACAGAGTGCTAATGGAATTTAATATTATTCCAATGCCTCTACCCCAAGTTAGGTAACTAGCTTCCTACATCATCCAAGTTTTTTTTATTTTTTAATTTTCTAAAGGAAGAAGAAAAGCTTTTAATTCATCTTATATTTTACGCTACCTTCAAAGAGCTTTTTGGGTTCCCCTGTAGTGCCACAGCGGCAGTGTCAAAGGCGGTAAACTGAGGAGATTGGTTTACTCCATCACAGCAGTTAGGATTCTCTGAGTTTTTTTTACTCTTCCTGCCTTTACCCTCACCTTGCTCTCTCTTCCCCCACCCACTTTCTTTCCTGGCTCCTCTGTATACTGTATTCATTTCCCATTGGTTTTGCAGGGTTGAGCACATTCATGGAAAAGTCATTAGCATTACAAGTACGTCATCACTCGGATTTAAACTCTACAGCCTACATTCCCCAAGATGAGACTTAGTTTCATGGGCTTAGTTTATGTTTTTATTTGCCTGCTTTTTTACTACAAATCCCTATCTTCTTCCTTTAGTGTTCTTTTTAGTAATTTTTTGTTTCATGTCCTTTGTGTCCTTAATGGTCTTAATGATTACAAATTGTCCGCTGCATGACTCTCAAGTAGTAGATGTACTTGAACCTCACTCTAACTTCCCCACCATAAAGCAGAATTTGGTATAAAGTGGGTCTGTCTGGTTTTCGTTTGTAAAGTAACAAAGAACTTTGTACAGGTAGTCTTAGCTAGAGAGTAGCTGGCAGGGTAAGTGGTTGTTCTTCTTTGAAATATCTCCTCTATATCCGTCTATGGATGCTTGGGTTGCTTCCACCTTTTAACTATTGTTAATAATGCTGCTTTGAATGTGGGTATTTTCAGTAATGTTTTTAAAGGCAATATGTTGACATGAAGAATCTTAAGAATTCTTCTTTAGAGGAAGCAGAGTGAAACCAAGACCATAAGATACCTTGAAAATATAATCAAAGCATGTAGCCCCTCTTACATATTTGCTCCCTGCCAACTGAAGTTGTAGCCCTTGCACCTATGCCCTGTGAAGAGTACATAACTGTCCACTGCCTTCACCCGTGGGGCAGTCTCCTGGTTTGTGTTCCAAAAACAGTGTTATCTCGAGTTCCAGTGCACTGACGGTTGATGTCTCCTCCATCGTCATTTGGCTTACAGTAAATGTGTATTTTGTTGCTTCTGCTTCCTGTTATAGTTCCCCCTTCTGCCCCACACTGCCAAATCCAAGGATCCCAGGACATCGGCAGCGATGTCATCCTGCTCTGTAGCTCAGAGGAAGGCATTCCTCGACCAACTTACCTGTGGGAGAAGTTAGACAATACCCTCAAACTACCTCCAACAGCCACTCAGGGTATGTACGCTGTTGCTTTACCCGTTTAATTAGTTATCATGGAAAATTCTGATTCTGAGACTCACAAAGTAATTAATAGATTTTGAAAAATAACACACTGTATTTGTAACTGCCGAAAATGCCATCTGGCTCATTTTGTGTTTTCAGCTTTCAAGAGAATAAAACATTTCCTTTCTCTTCTAATTGCTGCCTTTGTGCAGTGTATCTCCTTCAGTGGTAACTATATGCAGAAATTCTGTTCCGTGATAGTGCAGATTTAAAGTAGCTAAAGGGTAGCTTCTTTGTGTTGGTAACTGTAAGGTAATCCTTGACGTTTACAACTGAGGATCCACTTCCTCCTTGAGGCACAGCTGCCTATTTTAGTGTGAGAAACATCAGCATGGTCATGAGGGGGTTAATCATCCTGTTCTCAGCCTGGGGTCTGATTAGAGGAGGAAGATGGCAAAGGGAACAGGAAAAGGCCGTAGTTCGTGGGAGATCCAGGAGTTAATCTCACCAGATGGGTGAAGATGGAGGAGGCGTGAGTATCATTGATGGTTTTCTAGGTGTAAGTCCAGCTATTTAAATTTGATATTAAAGGGAACACCCTTGAAAAACTGAGGAAGATTTATGAAATAAAATGAGGGAGAATTGTCTGTAAAATCTTCTATGTCAAGAAAATAAAATTTAGCAGCTTCGAGTGTTGCATTGTCTCTGATACAGAAAATGTGTCTTGTAGCCGTCTCAGGGCCGGTTTACGTATCTTAACTTAAAGAGCTGGCAGTTAATGGAGAGGTCCCAGACAACCTTAGTTATGCCTGAGAAGCTGAATCATATTGACGGTATGTGCCTGTCATGGAGAAGGAAAGCCCTTTTGATGTGGTGAAGTTAGATGAAATAAAGAACCTTGGCGAGCAGCTTCTTAAGAGCCTGTAAATTTCCTTTAAGAAGCCCAACAGGAATATTAACAGCCCTTCCCATCATCTTTTAATTAACCTGCCCCCAATTAATGATTTAAAAAAACTTCTTTTCAGCATAGTAACTTTTGGGTTATTCTAATAATGATTACTGCAATACTCTTGTTCCCTACTGATTTTTCATTGCTAAATGTTTCAGCCACACTGTGGGCCAAATAGCTTTTTTTCTGGTCTAACTTGTTAATCTCATCATTGTAAGTGGTGTGTTTAAAATAGCTATTGTTTTGAAATCCTGAAAACCATATTCAAATTCCACATTTTCCAGTAACTAATTTGATGACGGTTCACCTCGCTGGGCCTATGTTGCCTCTTTGTAAAATAGGGGGATTAAACAATATCGTTGCCACAGTCCTGTGTATCAGCATTAAATTTCTATTATTTATAACATTTCTGTGAAATATTAGGCTGAGTTTAGAATTACAAATGAACATTTAAAAGTGGTTGTTTGTATGTAAGTGAAGCAATATCTGTGGAAAGAGGCTTCCATACTTCCTTATTTCTAAATAATTGTATATCAGTCAAAGTGTTTGGTGTCTTCTTTGCAACTTGAACATTCTTTGGTACATTACCTATAAACGTGAACTCGAATGCCAAAGATGAAAATGTTTGTCTTGTATATTTCAAACTCTGGATCACTTATCAGAATTACTTTGGATAACTTTATTTATTATAATAACATGCATTAAATGAGTCAGATTTTTAATTTAAATTTACCTCTTGATAGCTACATTAATAAAGTGGATCTCAAAACAGCATATAATCTCAAAATAACTTAGATCTTTTCAGAAGATTTACTTTCTAATTATGTTTGCAGTTGCTTAATATAAACTCAGGATGCATTCTCTTAAAAGAATATTTGGCACCAGGGAGGGCACCCGAAAGTCCAATTAGTGACAGGGACATAATATTTAGGGGTTAGAATTGTCCTTGAGTATAGGGGCTAGCTTGAAGGAGCTCCTTCTGGACAAATCTGGGACAATCTGAACATTAAAATAAATACATAATCTGTTGAGTAAAATGAGAACTCTTGAATCCCTACTGATAGATATATAAATAAGTCGGCGGGGGGGGGAAGGGAAAGCATTTTCTTATGGTAGGATGCTGACTAATGTATGTAGAAGGAATGATGGAGTTATAAAATCATCATCCATGTCAAAATAGTGGACAAAAGTTTGATGAGGAACAGGATATGTACATAGCCCCAAAGTGTGTCCAACAAATTACTTAATAATTACAAAGGAAAAAATGGTAACTTTATAGTGCAGAGAACTATTGGAAACAAACTGATTAAAGTGAACATTGCCAGTGACAAGGTGATAGCCATGCCTCCTGATATATGCACTGAGAAGGATACAACATCACTGCTGTGCTATTCTGTCAAAAACACGTAACCCGAATCTAATCATGAGGAAACATCAAACAAGCTGAAGACAAAACTGTTCCGGATTGAATGAGACTAAGGAGTTAAAACAACTACGTTCAATGAAGGTCACTACAGTATGGGAATCATATTACAGTATAGAAATGTATCAAATTAATATATTGTACACCTTAAATTTACACAATGTTGTATGTCAAATATATTTCAAGAAATAAAGAAAAATAGAAAAAGAATCCACAGTTATATAGGGGGAAAGTGGGTCTATGGTCAAATAAATTGGGAAAAGACAAAAAAAAAAATCCTAGATTAGAATCTTGATAGGGGAAGAAGAACCATAAAGGACATTATTGGAACAATTGGTGAAAGCTGAGTTTAAACTGTAGATTAGATAATACTGTTGTATCAATGTTAAATTTTTTGACTTTGGTATTTTGCTGTGATTATGTAAAGAATGTCTTTGTACTTAGGAAATAGTCACTAAGTACTTAGCGGTAAGAGGCATAATGTCTTCAACTCACTCTTAAGTAGTTCAGAAAAATATTTTTATATTTACTGAGAAAATGATAAACCTAATAGGGAAAAATGTAAACAACTGTTGAATCTGAGTAGATGATATACAATATATGAGTTCCGTGTAGTATCCTTGCAACTTTTCTGTAAGTTTACAATTATGTCAAAATAAAAGTAACTAAAAAATTTTCTTTATATAATTTATGTGTGGATACTTGAGTGAATGGAGAACCAGTATCCCATGAGGTACACTCCATTTTCATACGGAGGAATAATAAAGTGAATTTAGTGTTGTCCTCTTAGCATATAACCATTTTGAATTCTAAGATAAATGAAAACTATATTTAAGGTTGATATTCTTTGAAGCCAAATGTAGCAGTTTGGTCTGTGCTTCTAAGGCCTGTACAACTGGCCCAGGTTCCGGTAAGAGGAAGCAGTGCATGAGACACAGTTTGCCGGGCTCTATACCAGTGGAGCTCAACAGAGACAATTTCGTTTGGCGATGTCTGGAGAAATGTTGGTTGTCACAGCTGGGAGGATTGTGCCACTGGCAGCTAGTGGGTAAAGGCCAGGGATGCTGCTAAACATTCTACAATGTCCAGGATAGTCTCCACAACAAAGAAATATCCAGCCCAAAATGCCAGTAAGTGAATTACATTAATAAATGTTCTCATGTTAAAACATCCTTGCATTTCTGGAATAAAGTCTATTTGATTGTGATTATTTTTTAATTTATTACTATATTTGGTATGCTAATATTCTAATAAAATTTTTTCATCTGTGATCATAAGTGAGAATGACCTTTTTTTTTTTTTTTGTATTCTGTTGTCCTGGTTCAGTTTGGTATCAGACTGCACATGGCCTCATAAAATGAGTTGGGCAGCTTTTCCTCCTTTTCTATCCTCTGAAACAGTATGAATGAGATGGATATTATCTGCTGATTTTGTAGAATTTACCTATTAAGCTTTGCCTTGCTGTTATGTTTTATTGGTAGATTTTTGACTATTGATTCAGTTTCTGTGATGGTGTAGGTTTGTTTAGATTTTTTGTATCTTTTCTATTTTTCTAGAAAATGTCTCTTCTGTCCGACTTTGTTCATATTGGCATCAACTCGTTCTTAGTATTCTCTATATGAAAACAGAAGAGTGCATTTACAAGTGCAGGTTCTGGAATCAGAGGAGGTGGTTTGGAATCTTGGCTCCAGGAATCACCGGCTGTGTGACCTTGTACCTTAGTTTACCTATATGTAAAACAGACACAGTAACAGTAACTTCTTCACAGGGGTGGAATAAAGATTAAATGTAAAAAGTTTAGAATGTATAAGCACTTGATAAATATTGGTGTTTATATTATTAGTATTATTTTTCCCTTGTGAATTTTATTTTATTTATTTTATTTTTTGAGGAAGATTAGCCTTGAGCCAACTGCTGACAATCCTAACTGCTGCCAATCCTTCTCTTTTTGCTGAGGAAGACTGGCCCTGAGCTAAAATCCATGCCCATCTTCCTCTACTTTATATGTGGGATGCGAACCACAGCATGATGTGCCAAGCGGTGCCATGTCCACACCCGGGATCTGAACCAGGGAACCCCGGGGGTGCTGAAGTGGAACATGTGCACTTAACCACTGTGCTACTGGGCCGGCCCCTCTCTTGTGAATTTTAAAACTGTATTTATGTTCCCCTTTTCATTCCTAATTCTGTTTGTTTGTGCTTTTCCTCTTTTATGTTTTTGATCTGCTAATCCCAGCTTTATAAAACCATATCTATCCTCTTATATACCTGTATTAATTTCTTTTCTTCATTCATTCATTCACCAGATACTTGTTGGGCACTTACTGGGTGCCAGACACTGTTCTAGGTGCTGGAGATACATCCATCAACAGGATAGACGTCTTTCTCTTTGTAGAGTTTACATCCTAGTGGGTAGAGATCGGACATAATGAATCAGTAAATTGCAGAGTTTGTTACAAGGCGATAAATTCTATGGGGGAAAATAGATCAGGATAAAATGGATTAGTTGGGGCCTGAGGAGCTGCAAGATGCTTAGGGGAAGCCTCATGGAGAGGAAGATACTCTAGCAAAGATTTAGAGATGCTGAAGGAAGGCAGCATGTGACTCTGAGGGCTGGAGAGCATTCCAGACAGAGAGAACA